GCAGGCCCACCGTCACCCGCTGCTGACTAGTGGCCGCTGGGGAGAACTTCCGTCGACATCGATGGGTCAAAGCAGAAGGGCATCCATCCAGTCAGTGGGTCGGTGGTATCCAGCGTGCCATAGTCATCGCAGTGGTACATGGCGCACTTGCACAAACACGGGGAGGCCGGCCGTCAGTAGCATGAGAAGAGAAGGAGAAAGGAGCAGTCCATTTTGAAAAAGCAACAAGACAACAAACAAATAGGCTGACACATCATGATGAGAATAAAAAACCCAAAAACAACGGAATTCACATAGATGTCAACCCACATGCACAAATATACACGTATAAAAATATATGCGTGCCGTATTTGCACAAGAATACACACAACCCACAGGCATGGGCACTCCCATGTATGTATACACGTACAAACGCTGCATACTCACATCCCGCTGTCAGGATTGGCGGCACGCCTTACAGGATGATGGATGGAGAAGAGAAAAAACAGGGCCATGCGGGCAAAACAAGAAAGAAAGAGGAGAACATATAACACGTCAACGATACAAATGACACTCCGATGGGGAAGACGTACAACACACGCCGCGCCACAGTAATTTCTCACAACCTTCCGCGACCAAGGCCTGTCAGTTGAGTCTGCCCCTCCGCCCTCCCCGCCACCACAGCCAACAACCAAAGCGCAACTGTTCGCAGTATCCTCCCGGGACGCCTCTGCCAGAGCATGGGAGGAAGAAGCGCTTCGTGGACAAGTCGCATTGTGTCGACCTCGCCTCTTTTTGCCTTCGACAGGGTGCACTCTGGCTCAGAGGCCAAAATACGGGGCGGTCACAGCTCCTTCTCCCCATGCTCAGCATGTCTTCTGGACTAGAAGCTCCCATCCACCGGGGCGAAAAACTCAGCCTCCAGAAGCCCATCCTGCGCCATGTCGTCCTTCCCCCACGGGCACACGATGCAAACTGTCCCCGCACTGCAGCTGCTGTTGCCGCCAGCTCCCCGCCTGCGTGGTCAAGGCACTTTTTTGCCGTGCCAGATAGTCTTCTTGAAGATAATCATTCCACCCCACAGACTCCGCGTGAGCGGCCCACGCGAACATCCATTCGTCCAGTGTATACGGGCCGCACTCCTGTGCCGACAAGAAGCAGCCGCAAGCCTCAGAGCGGTCAGAGACGGCGCCGAGGCGTCCGTTCGGCTGCGGCCATGATAATTCCCCCGCCATCAAGTTAAAAAATAAAAGTTTCCGTCCTTTACTGAGAGGTAGCCCAGAAAAGCATCTACGGGGGACACCGTTGACGCCACTCCAGCGTGCCCGTCGGTGCTGCTCGAATAACGGAAAGGGCTTGCGCCACCGTCCATCCGATCCGTGAGGTCGCTCAGGGGCTTTACGCTTCCATGCAGTGAGCCCTCCTGCGCACGGAAAATTCCGGGGCCACTCCCACTCAGCGTGACGAGTGCCGAAGAGCGGCTACTGACATAATTGAAAAGGCGGTTTTGCGGCAGGCGCTCCTCATCCTTGCCCGAGGCGGCGGACACGTCCTCGCTACACGCAAAGCAGTTCTCCTCTGTGCGGTGGAGGCTGGTTGTATCAGTGCACTCGGTCGCATTCTTGTGTCTCTCCAGGAAGAGGCTGCCAGAGCAATTCTGTAAAGAGATATCTGACTTGCCAGAGTGCTGTCGCTCCCGTTTCAATAGATGCTGCTCCCACAAATGTTCCACGCGTCCCCCTCCTCATCCTCGTCTCCGTCGACTTCGCTACCGCCAAGGAGAGCAACAGCAAATACCTGTCTTCTCATCGTCCCCATTTGTCTGCCGCAGAGAGTCTATTATTTGGCTGCTGCTGGACCATTGCACATCTGCGGAAGAGGCCGAGGCCGCCCTCATCTTCGCTGGAAAGGACATCCGGCGGCTCCAAAACGGGCACGCCCTCAGGAACAAATTCCAACCCGCACCGTGGCCGAGAGACGGCGGCTGTTGGCACCTGGCGACGAGGCATCGTTTGTTGTCTCTTCTGTCCGCAGCAAAAAAATGGGCCAAAGCCCCTCAACACGCACGCCGCCCTCCCCCTCTTCGGCGCCCCTCCGTGTGTGTGTGTGTATTTCCTCCACGCACGTTGGGCGTGCAGACCGGCACCACAAGCTCCAGTACTCTCGCTGTTGCCGGGCGAGAGAGAACTGAGGACGGACGTACACGGCAAAAGACAAAAAGAGCGCCACAAACCACGGCGCAACAACAAACGCACATTCGCTTCTACCGCGGTCAAATACACGCGCACACGCACGCAAATGCCGTTTCGCTCCATTTTCCTTTTTCGTTTTAACCGTTGTCCAGCCCCTGATATTCGCTTACATTCATTACCGCCTTTTGCCAGCCGTGCGGCCTCGTCCCAAGCGGCCTAAATAAAGGCGCCCCGCCACGTACAAAACAAGACAAACAGCGCGGGTGAGATGCCTGGTCAAATAATTCCCCACCCGGAAATGGGGCGGGAAAAAAAAGAAAAGAAGGACAAAACAAAAAGGCAGAAATGTGGACGTGCGGGCAGCACAGAAAAACCAAACACAAAGGAAAAATAAATGCCAAAATGCCAGAACCAAACTACACATGAAAAAAGTGGGCCATCTCCACACACCGGGAGCCACACCATCGGCACTGACAGCAGCCGCACCGTGGGACGCTCCGCTCACAAATAAATCACACGAAAACACAAGAATGCATCCCCAGCGGCTCCAAACCGCGAGGTGAGGGCTCAGGCGCGGGAAGGGCGAAGCAAGCAACGCACACACACACAAAAAAAACGCGCTGAATCCCCTCCATCTCCCAATCGCACAATTAACTAAAAAAAAAGGATAATAGCAAAAACAAACCTACATACATCGTTCATTGACGGCCCAGCACACACGCAGCACAACGCAACGGGCGCCCACTGACTCCACAACCACCTCCCGCACGCGGGTCGAGGGCAGGGAGTGACGTGCTCCACGGGGGCACGGGGCGGTCAATGACACATTCCATTTCGTTCGGCCAGAGAGCACACAGGGCACAAACCGGAATGCAGCAACCAATCAAGCAATAAATTAGGATTCAACACGCACAGAAAAGAAATCATTTCGTCCATTTGTCAATCGCACGACGGGTATATCACTTCCTTCGAGTACCGTTCCACACGGGCAACAGGCGATGTGTCGTTGCCGAAGCGCGCCATCAGTGCAGCGTAGTCGTCCTCCAGCACGTGATGGACACACATCGAGGTCGGCACCACCTGCGAGTGCCCCGTGCCATTGCGAACGTCATGGAAATGACAACCCAGCACCTTGACGTATACCATCGGGTTGTACTTCACTTCCTTCTCAAGAACCCAAGCAACCATGGCGTCCTCGCTGTGAAAACGGAGCAGTGCAAATTCGTCATCACGCTCCTTGCTGTACGGCAGGTAGGCCAGGCGGCGCAGCGGCTTGTACGACACCAACGCCTCCGCCACATCCCTCGACAGGGTGTAGCACCAGCCAATCATAAACGTGTTACCCGGTAAGCCCATTTTCTTATACTGGGTAGAGCCAACATGGAGGCCCATGTAGATCCCTCGGCGCGGCAGAAGGCGCAGGTGAGCAACAAACAGCGGCACACGGAGGAACATGTCGTCATCGCCCTTCGCAATGTAGCTCGCGGTCGGGAACAGGCGGTGCGCAAGGTCAAACCACATGTAAACCTTGCGGCTCATACCGACATCCACCTCATCACCCCAGTCGCCGTATTGACCAACTGTTTTGTTAGTCGTCACACGGCCCTCGTTCATTGGCAGCGCAACCACATCGTTCCACTGCGACGCCTCCTCCAGCAGCGCGGCAGAGTAGTCGTAGCCGTGCGACGGGTGTCGCCCAAGGACGTACAGCGCAAGCATTGCACCGGTGAAGTCGTTCACCCTCGTCGCCACTCCGGGGAACCGCCAGCACGTCGTCCGCTGCAGGTTGCGTTGTGTTCGCCTCGCCTCGTCGTCGGTGGAGATGATGCCCAGCACAATCAGATACTCCCGCCGGCTCCACGTATCCACAACACGGCGTGGGATGTAAGCAAGCGCTGCGTCGTCCACTGCGGAGGCTCGCGGGTGGCGGAGGTTGTTGGGTGCCGGTGCACCATCATCGTCAGCGGGGACAAAGCTGAGATACAGAAAATTCGTGACCGCAATGAAGAGAATCAGCAGCACGGCAATCCGCTTCAGCTTACGCTTCATCGTCGGCAGTTTTGTTTTCGCCATGGTCGCTCTTGGTGTGAGAATCTAGGCAAAAGAAAAAAGGGCGGAGAGAGTGTGTAGTAACACCGATCAGCAGACACAAACAGCACGGGCGACAACCAGAAACAACACGGCCACGCGGTGCCACGCAGCCACGCGAGTACACGAATGCCCGTCAGCCAACCCACTGCGTCCCACCCGAATCCGGGACGGTGCGGGTGAAGGGGTCACGGCGGCAAAGAAGCCGACAGCACGCCGCCGCGGTGGCTCGACGATCCGCAGCCAACGCTTTTTTGCTATTCCTTGTGTCTCCTCAAAGAAGTCCCATGGTCTGCACTCCAGCCACCGTTGCAGTGAACGTCCGCCCTGCTGAGTGAGGACGTGAAGAAAAGCCGCGGTCCCCGGAGGTGGCGCTGCAGCAGGCGGCGTGAAACACAACCCCGCGACGCATCCGCCCGGCCTAGCGCACTCGCTCGATAATCAGTTCTCGCCGAGAATCAGTACAATGGCAGATAGTTTCGCAACACCACCTAACAGCAAGGAAAAGAGGAGAGGAACTACCTGCCACAAGCATCGGCGTCCTGCCGCAGCCGCGACGGGCCTGGCGCCTTTCTGCATCCAGGGGGAACCGCGCCAACTCCCTGGTGAAGCACAGGTTCCTCACTTCTCCAGTGTCCACTCCACGTTTCTGTCCGGGCGCCTGCCGAGCCGGGGCAGCGGAGTAGATGCGGACTCCTCTCCTCGCACAGCTCACGTTAGCCGGTTTGCACGACGTCCGGTCGACGCCCGTGGCATGCCGTGCGGTGGCGCGTCAGTCCGTCATTGCCGCAGCGCCAAAAGCCGCATGCTGGACGGCAAAATCCGAGCGGTGGTGATCCCATCGTGGCGCCGTCGCCG